CCATCCATCCCACTGCTGCTCTTCCAGAAAAGGCAGGACAGGATGTGGGTGTAATGGAAGAGAGAAGCAGCCGGGTGGAGGAAAGGCTGGCCCAGATTCAACATCTTCCTCCAGCCCATCTCCACCTGAGCTGGGTGTTGTTCACCTGTGCAACACTGCTGCAGCTTGTGGTCCAAGCCTGGAGAATGCCTCATCTTCAACCCACCTGGAGCCGTGTTTCCCCCCAGTCCCATCCAGCACACAAGATGCCTGTGTGGCGATGTACATATGTATGGTTTTGTTCCCTTTTTATTTTCTAGAAATTAACTTTTTATTTATTGCCTGAGGGAGGGAGAAAACAAACTGTTTGGAGAAAATAAAAATAAAACTGTTTTCAACAGTTGTGGCTGGAGCAGGTTTGTCCTAAACCCAAGAGAGAACGGCAGCTTCTACAGAGCAACTGTTAAAAATGTATTTATTGAATTTTAAACTATTACAAGTATTGCAGATCACACATTTAGCCAAGCACATTTATAGATCAAACTCGGTTGTTACAGAGATGTTACCTAAAGTCCACCGTGTAGGTAGGCTGAGAACCTGCCCATCGTCTTCTTTGAGAGAGAAGGTAAAGGAGGAAATAAATAAATGATAACCCAGTCCTGGGTAATTGGCAACCAAGAGAGGAAACACGCAGGGCTAGTTATGAAAACAAGTTATACAAAGAAAGGTCTAAAACTCAACCCCAGGTACACTGCCATCTAGGTTGGCAGAGAAAGCAACTGAATGAAGATGCACAAGCTCACAGGACTGTGGCACAGAAAAATTGCCACTTCAATTTCCAAAGCTGCAGCTGTTGTTAAGGAGGAAGTGTCAGAATTACCTTGTGATGCAGAGACTCTAATTGTCTATATTAGTAACTAACGGAACCAATACTAAAACTTGCCACCAACAGGCTCAGTAATACAGAAACAGATGTATCTAAACCAGTCAGATAATATGACCTGACAGGCGTATGTGTTAGTGTAATGGGAAATGCATCTGTTTCTCGTGTCCCCTACTGATTCATGGTCTCATTCACCTCGCTTCAGAAGTTGTAACATGCATATGCTGTCCCCTGGTCCTCCAGATTTTACAGGTGGGAACACTGCCACTCCACCTCTGCCGTGCTCTGAAAGACGATGTGAGCATGCTCTGGGCTGTGCCAAAGCCACCACCTCTGACCATCAATGGATTCAAGTCTACCATGGTTCACAAGCCACTCACTGCCCGAGGCTAGAATTCGATTTGTACTTACCCACGTCTTCCTCAGCAGTGCTGCAGCATAGCTTAAAATGACTGAAGCATGCATTAGACCTTCAGCTTCTGAGAAAGTCTAGCAATGTTCAAACTAACCTGTTTTGTGGCTAGACCCTTTCTTCTACCCATCTTTCTAAATAATCTGAGTAATTCCTGTTAACAGTTCCATATGTAAATTCTAGGTAGTGCAAGTACTGTGCAGGAGCTCAGACTGCACTGGAGGGATGCAGGAGTCTCTTGTGAGAAGATCTGCTGCTGACTTCAGTTCCTGCAGGCCACGCAGTGGCACAACATGTTAGCATCCCTCAGCACATCTCGCATGCATGGGGAGCAGACATCTCCTAAACTACAACAAACAGTAGGATCAGCTGGTTTCCAGAGCTAAGGAAGCGCCCTTCTCCAGAAGCTACTCCATCCCCTGTACCACCAAAGCCAGCAATGCAGAACATGTAGTGGGGCTTTCTTTTTGTGTAAGTGTAGAATGTAGGTTTGGGGTACTCCCAGTATCAATTAGCAAAGTATAAAAGTTTGCAGGAAAATAAATTCAACAGTGGGATTCCATGGCATCACATGCAAACGTTCAAAACAGAGGCTAGAAAATCACATTGCTCATTCCTTGGACTACAGACCAATAGTGACTTAAAAAAGGTGGAACTAGCACAAGAGGTTTGTAAACAGTCTGTGGAGCTGGGGTCAAAACAGATTGGCAGATAAAAATAAGGGTGAGAAAACAAGATACAATAAGGTACTGCACTCTCTGCTTTTAATCCTAACAGAAGTTTTGTTGACAGCATTCAGACTGCTGTGTCACTCTGCACCAGGTACCCGATTCATCTGCCTCATGGAAACAATGTCAGCAACGGAGAGCAGAACCCTCCCTTCTTTGCTGCATGATGAAGTTTCTTTCTGTTTTGCCTATTAAGGTCCTGATATTTCAAAACACTGCCTCAAAGGGACATGGGCAAAAATCAACATGCTTGACAGACAATTATCCCTTTCCCCAGACACCATTTTCTGTCCCAGTGGGAATGGCTCTTTCTGGAGCTGAGTGAGAGGTGCCCAGGCTCCCAAGCCTACGACATGGCTTAGCTGAGTGTTTTTGCATCCTCAGCTCCTCCTGTGCCTCCACTAGTGACCCAATGCTGCAAATGAGCAACTAGTGAACAGGGGATGCCCTTCTCAGGAAGTCAGAAAACTTCATTTCTCAGAAGGCAGCAGCTGCCTGGTTACAGGGACATGCCTTTTTTAAAGTCACATTCTCTAGAATTAGGAAGCATCAAGTTAACTCCCTTGGCTGAAGCAGCAGCATCTGTACCGTTAACAACCTGCCAAATGCAGCCTTACCACGAAACCATCACCAGCTTTCTCATGGGTAACTTTGATATTGATGGGCAGATCCTCGCTTTGTTTTAAACTGTAAGAGGAGCTACAACAACATATGCCAGGAGAGGCAGATGCTCCTCTCGTGGAGGTTTCTACGACACACAGACAGACGCACCATCAGGTCTGAGTATTCCTCTGTGTCTGGTCACAAACGGACAGGAGATCACAACATTACGAGACAAAAACCACTGCAAAATGATTTCCTCACACAGCACCTTTACTCTGCACAGAACATCAGGTACGTTAACACTGGCAGTTCAAAGATACTGGACAGTATTTTTATCCTCTAGGAGTTAAAGGCTGCAGAAGAAATCCAGACTAGCCATTAGTTCAATCAGCACACAGGAAACAACAAGCAAGAACAGAATCTGGTGCGGGCTTGGTGGGGTTTTTGTTTTTAGGTTTGTTTGTGTTTTTGAAAGATGTAAAGCTTTCAACTTCCACACCCACATTAACCATTTTGCTCACCTAAGCAGCACAACTGTTTCACCGTTTAAAACTATGTCTAACTGGGGATGGTGAGCAACACGCACTCTCACCGCTATCTGAAACCCTAGTGTAGATAGGCGCATCTCCCCACTCCTTTATTAGCTAAGTTAAAAACAAACCCCAAACTTAAATGATGAATACAAAGCTTCAAAGCCTAGTGGTGATCTCTGCAATCCTAACACTATTAAACAAGTAGCCAAAATACAAGCACCCAATTTCATCAAGGAAATTTGATTAAAAGGACAACTAGGCTAGAGCCTGGCTTGGACTTCGAAGCTACATATTTCATCAGGTCACAAAATGAAGCGAGAACCATATATCCACTGCCAGCTCAAGAAAAACAAAAATCAAAGTTCAAAGATTTGTTGGAATATTGCTATTTCTAAGGTTTTCTTTAGAGAATTACAAACAGATGATGTGCAGGTAGCCATATTGCACTAAATGACTGATTTTACAGTGGGTGAAATTCCTCTGTGAGGATAGCTTGCTTCAACATTAATGTCTTAATGTTAGAACTGAATTTTTGTGTCTTAATGCTGAAAGTGAAAAGCTCTTCAGGTTTAAGTTTTTTTTATCCAAACACGTCAGCAAACTCCCACTTATGGGGAGCGCATCCAGTTTTATAAACTAAAAGCACGCTATTCTGTCGTTTCCTTGCTTTAAGGGGGATGAAACCTGAATGCATGAACTGGATCATCAGATACTAAATGGTGCTGGTTGATAGGAAAACATACATCATGTTGTGTTCAAACGAGCATCTTTTTCTCCAGTTATTATGTACTCAACACTGAAGCACATCTCCTGGTATTGGCTGATAAGAAAAAAATGAACACAGCTCGGTTTTCAGCCTTCTCTGAAGCTGTAAAAACAACAACAAAAATCTGTTTCTACTTCTGTTAAATGCATATCCTCCATGAGGGGGACTTTTGAAATTGTTTGATGCTGTGCTATGCAATGCTTAAAAATAACTTTCTCTTACCCAGTGAAACAAACCTGGGAACTAGCAGGGAAGGGGATTTGAGAAAATAACTCCTAGCTTTGTTCTCTGGTATACCTGCAAAGAAATCCACTTGCCAACTGGTGTTTTAAAAGTTCATTCTCATCAAAATGTAAAATCGATATTTAAAAAAATTATTATTTTTGTAAATCCCTTAAGCTCTTCAACCGCGATGTCACAAAGATGTGACATGAAGCTGCTATAATACACTCTCCCTCACCAGACTGAAACCCACTTACTGGGTCTCATATCACAGAGGGACATGAACCAGGTATGCTCTCACGCATGCAATCTTCTGACTTTTCACCTGCTATCTCCCAGCAAAACCACGCGCCACTGGAACTGCAGAACGTTTCACAGACTTCAGGTACTTAATAGAAGCCTTATAAAACGTTCTTTTAGAGATGCCAGCAGAGGGCATTGACCTGCTTTATGAAGTTATGACAGCAAGCCCAAGAGCTGGTTTTACCCTTGCAAACACTTCCTAGGGCTTCCCCCAGAAAACTCACACAAAGCAGTGAACTGACATGATTTGTTTCCACTCTAAAGTTACACTCACTCCTATTATCGTTTGCTCAGAGGTGTGCAAAAAAACCCTATATTGAAGAACTGGACCTAGCCCCTTCTCAGATTAAATTCATATTGCATTGTTAACAATTTTAGTCAACTCGACTTTGTGCAAAATATTTTTAAGAAGGTTCTGGCTCAACTTCAGAATACAAAAGGAAAATAAATAGCTGACTAGGATCTCTTGAAAACATAAAATGAATGGTGTATGCTGAAAAGAAAGTTATGGGCTTAATGCAATTTGTCTGCAAATAAAATAACTAGAATAGTAGTGTCTGAAATTTTAACATGTGAGATGGCACTGATAAAAGATTTCTGTTTGCACAATAATGTTCCCAAAGTCTAGATCAAAACAATATTATTTTACACAAAGTAACTGCAGAGACTAGGAGCCTGAGATATGTTATTAAAAGGCAGTCCCTTGTAAACTTTCCTCAAAAGGAACAGTAGCAGTTGAGTATGCAAGAGTTACTCATATCTTATTCATCAAGACAGCAATGCTTCATAAAAGACATACAGCTTATTTCCAGGTTGTTAACAATTTTATATGATACTGATTTTCTGAAAAACGTATCCATCCAGTCCAAGATTGAAGTCACATCCTTCTTCACTGCTCTGTAGCTACTAGGTCTTTTGCTCTGCTGCTGTTGCTGTCTGTGAGGGAGCTTCTGGCTTCACAATCTGGTATGTAATAAGATATTCCGGGTATGCCTGAAAGCAAGGCAAGAAAAAAAAAAAAAGGCTTTATGCAAGGGTATGCTCAGCGAGTTCATGAGACGTTCATGAGATGTTGGATTTCATGAAACAATGACCAGGAAGGACAGGGCAAGAATCAGCTCTATGTTCTTAGAGTGCAGAAGAAAAAGCAGATTTCAAACCTAGACAACACTAAGTGGGAACTGCTCAATGTAGTTAACACCTTCCTTAATGCACTAGTATAAAGAAAGATGTTTCTTCAATGCAGAGACTGCCAGAAATAGTGCACTCAAGAGGAATTCAGAGTCGGAGTTACTCTCCTTGTTAGCTAATCCTGCAGGTCAGTCAGTGCTTGTCAGTCATTCAAAAATCTCAGATGACTGATGCAGTCTGACACTAAAATACTGACTCGCTACGTGACCTGCAAATGCCTTTCCTGGCAGTAGAGTACTTGGCACATCCAGAACACGTAACCCAGTCATCTGTCCAGTGTTTTCTGAAGACAGCTGGTAGGAGGTTCAGTCCCTGAACAAAGCTAAGGGGCAGGGCCTCATTCAGAGAAAGCTAGATGGGTGAGAGGAGACTGGGCAAACAGCAGCCTCAAGAAATCCAGCAAGAGCAAATGCACCCGGGACTAACTCCTTGTAGTAACACTGCAGGATGGGAAGCAGCTCTGCTGAAAAGGTGCTGGGTGTCCTTGGGTGAGAGTAAGCTAAAGCAGAATCAAACAGTGTGTCCTCTGGCAGCAATAGAGGCTACCAGCATCCTGCGGTACCCCAACAGCAGCGTAGCCAGTCAAGTGAGCGTAGCGATGACTGCTGCTTATTCAGTGCTCACTTGACCACATCTAGACAACTGCATACAATTTTTAGGCCTTTCACTACAAGAAAGATGCCAACAAGCTGGAGCCAAGTTCAGCAAAGGACTGGTAAGATAGTCAGCAGGAGAGAGCACAGGGTAAGTAAGAAGAGGCTGAGGCAGACGGGCTTGTTCCAGTTCAGAAAAGGGAAGGCTTTGTGGGACTTCATAGTGATCTTCCTGTCACATACGTCAGGCTACTGAGAAAAAAGAGCCAGACTCTTCTGAGCTGCGCAGCAGGAGAACACGATTCATGGAAACAGGGGAGGTTCCAACTGGATACAAAGAACATACTATTTTTACTCTGAGGATAATTAAGCAAAGGAACAAGCTGCTGAAGGAGGCTGTGAAACACCATCCTCTGAGGCCTTTGAGACCTGCCTGGTCAAAGCAAGCCCTCAGCAATCTGGTCTGAATTTAGTGTGAAGAAGAGGCTGGCCTAGGTGACCTCCCCAAGGTTCCTTCCAGCCTGAACTTGATATATAATCCTGGAGCCATCCAGAGGAGTAAGCAAACCACTTTTCTAGACTAAAGGCCTAGCTTATTATCTGAGTTACTCAGATTAAAAATCAACTCCTGAAGATTGCTTTGCTTTCAGCTGCCATTTAAGGGTAATGTCTGGCAGGCAGCGACACTGCCACTGCTGGCAATCTACAGGTAAAAAGCCCAGAATCCTCAATATGTACAAAAGCCCCAGAAATTCACTGTTCTTGTTACTGCAGTAATGCCAGTAAAACACAATGGGAGAAACTATGCCTACTGAGAGAAACTACAACTCTTAATAGGCTCTAGCAGTGCTGCACAGGGGGAAATGGGCAATTCTGCGTGGTGTAAATGAGAGCTGCTCAGTGGATAGACATAGTGTTTGCTGGCTTGACACAGTTCACTGTTTATTTCCACATTTAAATGGAAAAAAACCCTACAAACAATAAATCTAATCAACCTGGTTTTCACAGAACTGTCGGTATAGAAACCAGTCATTCCCTCTCCAAGTTCTTTGCCCTTGCAAACCTACATACCTGTTCCCCTCTATAGATAACATATTCAGCATATGCAAGTCCATTCACGCTTGGTCTGCCAATAACAGAATGGTGCCCTGGAGGTGCATGAGCCATTTTCATTGTGCTGAACTGAAGAAAGGATTTTCCAAGGGTCACTCTACAGAAGAGCATTTGTCTAAAAGGAAAAAAGAAAACATAATTTTCATATATCTTACTAGGAGTTGCATGCTTCCAGAATGATTTCAAACTTGAACTTATTTCATCACAGTTCATTTCTCAAGGCTTTTTGGAGAAACACTTGCAGTTCTAAGGCTGTATAAAACCTGTCACACACAAACAAAAAAGTCTTTCTTGACATGCAGAAGGGACAACACGGACTTTGTTCTTTGTTTAGCCTTCACATGAAGGCCTGTCCTAGTTCATTTTATATAAAGCTGTTGAAATATGAAATTGTGTTCCTACCAATAGGGTATGGGCAGGTATCAAAAGTGCAAAAAGCACATTGATCTGCTCCAGTACAAAACAAAGCTGTGATTACGTCCTGTTCACCACCTCCAAAATTATCCGATCCATGGTCCAACACTGTACTGCTGACCACCACTTTGCACTGCAGTTTTTGTTCTGATAGTGCCTGGAGTTAAATTGCTATTTTCATCTGACTCTTCATTTTCAAACTTGCTGTTTCAGGCCTCTTTCCTGAGCCACAATTCACTTTGATTTATACTCACTGTATGCTTAGATGTAATTTTTGACCTTTCTGTGTGACTCGCTGCATTTATATCCTTTTTTTGTTTAGCCTTGACAAATGGAAAACCGCATTTTTCTGGCCATGACCAAGCTCAAGTGCCTATTCCTTCCCTGCAATTCACCCTGTGACAGGATCGTAAAAACAAGGACAGCCAGAATTATGTATAGGGAACTCTGCTGGACTCATACCTGTGGCAGATATAACAGGACCTGTCTTTGTGTGTGGGGCAGCCTGTTCCTCCCCCTATCCCATACACATATTGGTTGCTTTTTGAGGAGTTCTCGGCAAAGTAAATCCCAGCTCCAAACATTCCTCCAATGTATGCATGCCTTTCATCAAATCCTTTGTGAATGATAGCATTAATAAAAGGAGACCCTAGAACAGAAATGACATGAAATGATACATACTTGTCAAGCTCTATAGTAATACAGGACTCTGTCAAGAGGAGCTTGTCTGCCTCAAATAGACCATTAAATACCAGAAAGCACACTCAGTCAGCTGGAAGGGGGTGATACCCAGCAGGATGCAGTGATGTGTGGGATTTATCGTTATATACCAAGATCCCACGTGTGACTCATATTTCTTACTCATTTCCCCAGATCTCATTAAATGGCTTTCCCCCCCACTCACATTTCAGTGCAATTTATCTTGTCAATGCACACCTTCTCCAGCAGTCAGTACTGATTAAGATGGGGCAAGGTGTTAGGACAATCATACCCAAAACCAATCTCCTATGCAGAATTCACAGAAGGATCTAGGGCAGAAGGACCCTCAGGCAACTGTCATTTGTAGGCACTTCTCGATGCTTCTAGAGAACATCTGGCTGAAACTCATGGTTGGTTTTGATTCCTTACCCTGATGGTTGCCTGAAGCACCAGAGTAAAATACTTTTACTGTGTGTTGCTCCCCTCTTTTAGAAGATACTCTTTCTCACAGCAATATAACACCCTTCCAGCAGCTTTACTGGAAATTACTAAGATACAGATTACCAAAAAACTTTTTTGTTTTTCTTTTGAAAGAAAGAAAAAGTATTTTTTATCTAGCTTGGCTTTTCAGATAGCAGTAACCACACAGACCAACTCCACCACCCCCACACCCTTTCATTTCCAGCGTACAGAAATACAATTACTGTACAGGATGGTGACACAGCAACGTTAACATTGCCTGTGGGTCCTTGGAGGCTTTTTTTGGTGTTAAATACCAGTACTTACAAATAGAGATCACTTCCTTACCATGAAACAACATGCGTTCATTGTGATGATTATGATTCTCCTCTGAGACCTCCTTCTGCCTGTGACAGAACCTCTCCCGCAACTTCTTGTTCACGACCTTTTGAATCTGCAGTGGTACAACAGGTCCAAGCATACTTGAATTGGATTTGAAATGGAATGTAGTTTCACAGAGAATGCATAAATTCGACAGGGAAATGGAGTAAGACACATGAATGGTACAAAGAAACCCCATGGCTGTTCTGCATGCAAGGCTAAAGCCTTTCAAACAAGTTGGTAAGCACACACTTACAGGCAGTTAAAGCTACTCTGAAACTGCAGCCAAGAGTTCTCAGGTTTAAGGAAGACTTCCAGGCTTCTTCCCTCAGATCTCATAATGCCACCAAGAACTACAAACTGTTTGAAACTCTTTCCATCTCTGCTTTGAGCTCTGTTGAACAATCTGGGCTAGCTTTTTGAAGCTTGCTGTCTGGCTTAGGTTGAATTTTTACAAAAAGAAACAACTTCTGAGGAAAGAAATTAGGAGATATGCTATTTAATCTATCTTGAGATATGGTTCCAGCCATGTGCTCCAATACCACTGTGGTTTCTATAAAGGACTTCATCTTTGGTTGGTAGTAGGATGGAAACAGAGTTGATGTCAGATGTACGATCTACTGGGCCAATTGCAAAGGCTCTGTACAAACTCACTTTTCAAGCAGATAGGTAGCAGGGGTTTGCTGGTGGGTGCTCAGGAACTGAGTTCTGTTTTGATATCCTTTATTTCCTCCTCCCGCCCCAAAAGGAATAAGAAAGTGCACTTTCCCTCAGAAAGACAACACTCCATTTTTCTGATACGTCAGGGCTTTTAAAAGGTGTTTTTCTAGTTGGGAGGTGCAAAGGTGGCAGTGTCAAGATCCAAAGCAGTACAGGGAGATAGAAACTTTCAATAAAAAGTCATGCTCATTGTTTCCCCCTCACCCAAAATTGCCTTTAAAAAGGCACCTAGAAAAAAACCTGTGCTGCAAAATCAAATACAGAAGTTATAGTCCTCTCAAATTAAAATCAGGCTGTGAAACATAAGTCAAGCTCTTCAATATCAGTTCTTCAGACTGCTTTAAGAGCACAAGTGGACACTTCTCCCTAATTCCATGTGCAGAGCACACAATCAGTCTAATTTTAGCATTTAGCACTTGCTTTAACTCTGCTCTTGAATTTTATCTCAACAAAGAACTTTAAATATGAAAAGGCAATCCACTAAACCAATTGAGCCTGCTTGCGTAAGTACCAACTGATTCTACCACACAGAATTAAGAGGTTTAGAAACTTACCCTGATGACATTGTACCTGTTGAAGATCCCACCGGCATTTCCACCATCCCGATGCTCCCGGATTGTACTCTGCATCTGCATAAATGAACACAGCTGAACGTCCAGCACATAAAGCTTGCTAGCAAGGCAAAGTATTAATGCTTAATCTCAGTATATCACTGGCAACAAGAGCCAATCTTCTTGACAATTAAAGGTGTAAAAAACCCAACCCCAATTCTCAATTTTAAACTGAGGTACACCCTTACTTCTCAGGCACTCAATGTACTATGCTGTTTGGCAGTAGAGAAGTTGGATGATGTGATTACCCAATCTTGTAATGAAAATCTACACAGGAAAAAGGAGAATAGTGGCACTTGCTGTCAAAATTGCACACAACTAGAAAACCTGATTTAGATTAGGGAAAAAAAAAGCAATATTTGAAAATGAATATACAAAAAGATTTTATAAAGATGTAATAACAAATGTGTTTCTAATGAGCACAGTTTGTATTTCCTAGTGATAGGAAAATTCTTGCACTGTCAATTTTCCTATGTCATTAGAAGCCCCTGAGAACTTCAACGGTTTAATGGTGCCTTTTCCAGAGGTATTTATAGCTACAGCAATCTTTAGTTACAGCTCAAATAATTACCCCAATTCACTATGGCAGAGAAGTGATCCTTTCTGTCAGAAAAGTTTATAAAAGCAATGTGCACAAACTCAAGTTTACACAGTCACTAAACAAAAGTATTTCAGGTTAAGCTGGCAGCAATCCTGAATATTTAATTATTAAAAAGACTCCAAACACTTCTGTGGTACAGTGTAGGAACACTACACAAATAGCAAGAGCACAGTAAAATGGAGTTACGTACCAAACACAACTCTTCAGAGCATCTCTTTTCTGTTGTGATTTTTCTTTCAAAATGGTATCTGCTTGTAGTTTACTCACATAAAAGAGCATGTGTGTGTGGGAGGCAAAATTACAGTCAATTTTCAATTATCCAAAAGCTGTTTATCTGGGTTACAGATTAACTACGCCAGTGAGACAAGAGAAAACAAGCTGGTTCACAGCCAGAAAAGAGTCTGAGCAGAGAGAATGCCTACAGACTTGCAAGTCCTTAATCCCTTGCTTTTCATGGGTCCACCTATCTATGGAAAGCTGTGGAAAACCCTTGCTAAAAATACAACAATGACAAAGCAAAATTGGGATAACGCTAAGTAAGCAAACAGAGCACTTATTAAAAAAAAAAAAGGCAGGACACAGCAAAATTATTTCCATCATTGCTCTATAAAAGAAGACAAATGAAGAGCCCTAAACTTCATCTCCGACCTATACAATTCATAAACGAAAGCATACTTTATCACTTTCAACATGCATTGCATGCTTTAGCTCTGACGGGTTGTAAGTGAACAGAGAAATACAGAGCCACCGGAGCATTAAGAAAGGTACTTGCAATACCTCCTCTTCTACAGATTGATATTCCTTATCATCAGGAGCAAGGTCAAGGAGAATGGTCCCCTGACTCACACAGTGGAAAGTCAAATAAGGATTGGTGCCTGCAAAGAGAAGGAATTAAATGAGTAAAAATCAACAGGAGAAGACAACACCGGCTCTATTTGTATTCATCATCATTATTACCTCTCTTAAATAACCCCAGTACAGCAGGAAATGGAAAACAAACAGAAGGCAGAAGCACAACATTAAAAAGATAAAGTGCTTCCGTTGGCAGGAGAGGCTTTAAAAGAGTGATGGCAAATGCATGTGGGACATAATTGCATTTTATTGTTTCCGCTGTCAAGAGAAGCATCCAAGAAGTGTGAGGTAGCAAAAAGCTCCATCAGGTCCATCCTTCAGGATCCAGCTGGCCTGTGGGTAAGTATGTTGAGCAAATCAACCCAAAAGCTCCTGCCTGGTTGAAACAGAGTCCCAAGAAATAGGCACAGCCTCCACAGCTGTCTCAGAGGTGTCCATTCTCTGGAAAGGCAAGTGACCACTCACTCCTGTATCTCCTCAAAATACCCTTTACTTGTCACAACACACCCAGCCACCAGGCCTGCCAGCCCGTACATGTTCCTGACGGCTGGATTCTTTCAGGTCCTGGTGACAAAGCCTGCATTTACAGAAGGTGACTTCTGCGAGCCTCTTGTATGCTTAGGCTGACCAGTGTCATATTTACCTTGCTGTCCTCCTAGAAGCCTCTCCACACCTTTTATTAATTTGTGGCGGTGTCCATACGCATTGATCCCTATTTCTTTAAGCTCCTCATGTCCCATGTCTGCCAACACATCCAGGGTTATCTGGGAAGGTGAAAGACCACAAAAATCACTTGCCAAACCTGGCCTGATTCCCAGAGATTGAAGACCCATTAGTTCAGAAAATGGAATGCATTCATGGTGCAACCAAGAGAATAGATATATGTTATGGTTTACTGCACTTCTAATTGCTGCCACCTTCTGGCAAGCCTCTCCCTATTACAGGACATTCCCTGCTTGAAGCTGTGCAAAACTTACTTTTCCAGCAATTAACAAGAGCTGGTTCTCACAGGAAGTTCTCAAAAACGTGTTTACTTATGTAGACAGAAGATGCATGGAAATGCTGGGACAAATCTGGGAATATTTTTGAAGCAAAGTTTCACATTGCTGCACAATTCATTACTTTCGCTACACAAACAGAAATAAATATTCTATAAGCTTACTAATAAATGTGAAGTGTGTTTCACATCAACGTTATTAGGATGTGTGCTACTCTTGTGTGTGTGCTTGCATGTCAACTGTAGTGGTAGGACAAGGGGTAATGGGTTTAAACTGAAACGGGGGAAGTTTAGATTAGATAAAAGGAAGAAGTTCTTTACAGTGAGGGTGGTGAGGCACTGGAATGGGTTGCCCAAGGAAGTTGTGAATGCTCCAACCCTGGAGGTGTTCAAGGCCAGGCTGGACAGAGCCTTGGGTGACACAGTTTAGTGCGAGGTGTCCCTGCTCATGGCAGGGGGGTTGGAACTAGATGATCTTAAGGTCCTTTCCAACCCTAACTATTCTATGATTTTATGTCTGTCAAACTAGTATTATCAGCTATGCTAAGTCATGCTCAACTATTCCACTATTTTTGGAACTAATTAACAGTCGGAGACACAAAAGTATTCATTTGGTCGCAATATATGAATACATTTACAATTGCCTGACATGGTTTTAAATTTCAAGGTCACAGATTATTGGTGGAAACAGAAAGGTAATAAAACATGATGTCAAATAAACATTTATTTTTAAAGAACAGGAGGTGAAAGCTAAATAAAGTACACATTTTTATTCCTACAAAGCAATTGTGCACTGAGGTGATTATGTGAAAATCAAAGATTTCACCTGGACAAGACAGTTGTATAAAATCTACTTTCAAATTTACATATTAAACTAGAATGGGAAGCTCAAAAAATAATGGGAAACCATACAAGTTGATTCAAAAGGATCTGTATTGTTAGCAAACTGAACTTTCAGGTCTGAACTCTGTCCACTACAAATTGAGTATCTAATTCAAAAGAAAGCAACTCAAGAAAGGGATTAATAGCTACACTGAACATCCATTTAATTGAGCGGAAAACAACCTACTGGGACTGCTGTGGAAAAACCACTGAAGATATTCATCACATGCAGCAGAATGTTAAAATAAAATACAGAAGAAATCCAGATATTAGAAAGCATCAGGAGGAGGCTAGAGCCAAGATGAAAAAGTGCATGCAAAGCTACTGCAGTGCTTGGAAAAAGCAGCTTACAACAATAAGCTTAAGGAAGATGAGCTTGTTTTCACCTCTTCACAAGAGGAGCTAACCAGTTTCAAAATGACGAATACAGTGAATCTGATTTGCATTATTAAATGTTATTAGCAGGGGAAGATCTTAAAAACAGGTTAGGATTTAAAGAATCGAAAGTAGAACAAAATCAACATGGTAATAGGAAAGTGTGAAAATAATAGGAAAAAAATAAACGTGGGTAGAATATAGGTTGGTTTGAGGTTGGTTTGCTTCTTAATAGAAGCAGTTCAAAATTAAAGAGTTTATGCTTCATATACAGGAAGGGAAAAAAAGACTATATGCATTTTAACTTTGGGGAGATACCTCCTGTAACATTTCATAAACAGTTGGAACTTTCTCTGTTAGCAACATATTACATTTTATATGTTTGTTTCCTGACCCCTCATAAAACATTAGCAGCAGAGGCCTAGTGAAAAAACAACCATCAAATCCAGTCTCTCACACTGGTACCATTTACTTCCACCACTGTGTCCATCTTGCTTATGCGAACAAATAATCTATTTAACCCTAACATGTTAAATTTATTAAATGGTAAATAAAAAGAAGCCTACAATTACATTAGAGGTACTTCTGCTTTAAAAAGTAACAAGTTTGAGAAACTGCTCCATTAGTTGCATTCTTCTCATATATTGTGAGTTATTGATAAATCCTCCGTGTTTTGCCCCCATTTCTCAATTCCATTTGAAACTTCTTAGCCCTGCAAAAAGCAGTTAATGCTATAGTCCTAACAAGTTAGGAAATGTAGGTTCTGCATTCTTTAGTGTGACTACACCCTGGTAAACTAGATGTTTTATTTCAGCTTATAGTTAAACTGGAGGGTTTCCTAGATCTAACCGAAGTATCAAATGCAGCACTACAGGTGGTGAAACACTTGTTTGGATATGAAGACTGCTGAAGAACAAATGCAGATGACATTCCAACCTAACTTTGTCATAGCTGTCATGTTCAAAGTTCACAAGGTCCAAAGTAACTCTCAGAATACAAGCCAAATTAGCAGTCATCATGTATGTGTAAGAAAGTGAAAGACACTGAATATCTGAATTGAAGTGATTTTCACAGGTTTCTCAACTTCCCCATAAAGTACCTGGTGACTCATTTGCTGTTTTCTTGGACATAGTTGTTTTTCTGTAAATTTGAAGTTGGGTTTTTTTGTTTCCCTTTTTCAATCAGAGAATGGAAATATGACTCAAATTCATTATATTAGTCTATCTTTTAAACATACAGAAATCACTTACCTGTTCTGTCTCAAAGATGTCCCGAAGGTGTTCAAGACCCAGGCTTTTTAGGAACTGGGTAATGTTCATGTCAAGACCTGAAACTATAACAGAAGAAACAAGACATTATGTCCTATGCACCTGAATTTAAAACAAACAATCCACAAAATAAACTAAAAATCAAGCAATACTACTGATTCTCTCAAAATTCTAAACTTTGATTCTTTTTACAATCAATTTGTCTGTGTCTATAATAAACAACCCACTTCGACATTGTGTGAAAGCTCAGTGCAAAGCTCAACACTGCTGCCTCCTCAGAATCAACTATTAAAAAGCACAAATAACCTGTGGCAAATCCAAGCTCGTATTGCAAAGAGAAGGAAAGGAAGGGTGGGTGTATTTTGCTATGTAATCACCCAGATGCAGACATAAAGCATGCATTCCAGATACTAATCCAAGGGTTTAAAAAGCCTTAGCAAAATCCCCCAGACACCACAATCATAATTCCTTCATCAAAATAATTCTCATTTGATTTTTTTGTATAAAATCAACAACAAACATCTGGGTATCTAATCAGATCTGACGTTGTAGTCAGACCTAATCACTGGTAGCAAACACAGATGAACAGCCAACAATGCTCCTTGAAGAGCACATGAAAACAAGAGTAAGCATCAGACACTTCAAAACATAGATGACATTTTAAGCTGCACAATATTTTATGGCTAGTCAGAAATGCTTTTCAGATAAAGCAAGGCCTACTATGATACTAAGCTACTGTACTTCTGGCAATGTAAACTTGTCCAGCAGCAAATGCACCTTCTCCTTCCTTCCTTTCAGTTCCTGCTGCTCCATCACCAGCATTCGATGCACCTCCTACGGCTAGTTCTGCCAGTGGCCCAGTGAGGTTATCTATACTGCTGGCAGCGGAGAGGCAGGATGGTGTAGATGCTGGTGAAATCACAGAGGCACTAACAACAGTAGCTTGAGGCTTAAAGCATGTAGGCAAAGCTTCTGGAGGCATCGCATCTATCAGCAAAGCTCGGATATCATCAGCCTGAAAAACAGACAGAACATTCAACATGAGGTTATGTTATCCTAAGTCATCAATCTCCGAGAAGAACTTTTCTTTGCATTTGTTTATGTTGATTTATCTGTTACCCCATTAAAAAGAAAACACCAACACAGTAATTCATGGTTGCAAGAACATTCTGATTCATTGCAATAGGTGAACCGGGTTCTCCCCACTTCTAAAGGTATGTAAGAAGGTACATCTAATTTTCTTTCTGGCATAATGACCTTATAGGTGTGAAAGCCAGGAAGAACAATGCAGCAACTCTATCTGAAATCCTTCACAACCTAGGCAAGGCAATACCATCTCATCATTTCTCTGCCAGGCTTAACTTCTGGTGAAGTATCCTGCGCTGGATCAAGGTTTCAGTGGAAAGACTACAACTGCCTTTGCTATAATCACATCTTAAAGCATTATTAAAAAAAAAAGAAAAAGAGAGGAGTTACAGGAGAAGTACGAACTTAACTAACAACTGCACTTAGCCTTTGTTGACTAAATTAAGTAGGACCCTCATCTTCAAGAATTTCCTCCTTGCATGTTCTTGTAGAACATGATTAAGACATCTTTATTTTCCCCCAACAAAATCAAGTAGTTTTCATATCCCTCATCACAAACCAAGTTTTCTAGAGCTCAGGTTATTCTTGAGGATACTTCTTGAATTCTCCATAAATCAAACAATAGTCTTAAAAGATACCCGCACTATTACCAGACACAGTATCCAGTTCGGTTGCAATATCTATTCTATCAGGACTGGTTAACCTGGAACATACAAGCTCATGTAACCTTATTAGGCTTTTTAACCAGCCACCACTAACAAGAAAGTTTCTAAAACTGGATACCAGTTTTAGAAAAAGTGTGATGGCAGATCTTAGAATGTTGTTTTGAAGCTAGACAAAAAAAGGACTGAGGTAATATGCAGGCACTGAACATAATTATGCTCTAAATGACTCCATTCCTCTAAAGACCCATCTGATTTTCCTCCCAGGTTCAAAGAAATAATCACCAACAGGACACAGATCGACCATCATCGGAGACATTTCAGAGGTTTATTTCTGACAATGAGGATATTGATCCCAGGAGTGAGTCAGATCGATCCCAGGAGTGGAGCAAACATTAAATCATGAGCCACATTAAGATCTCAGCCAAAGGAAAAAACCTGGACCCCTGGGTAAAATGTCACAGACAGGCACCCTGGAGATGCTCATCTCCCTCTACATCAGCACAGTGAAAGCTGAAGGCTGCTGAGGCCACGGTGCCATAGAAAGCCATTTAATATGCTGAGCAAATCCTGGAGGGCAGCTGTGGCTGGCATGCTAACACGAACTTACTGTTGCCAGGTCTAATGGTGTCTGACCCTCTTGATTCTTCATGGTTGGATCTGCTCCATGAGCTAACAGCAGAGCACAGAGCTGTGTCCTTCCTTTTTGTGCAGCTTCGTGCAATGGTGTGAACGCCCACTTATCTGTTGCATTTACGCATGTATTGTATTTGATCAACAGTGCTGCTATATCCACATGCTGGAAAACACAAGAACACCTTAATCAACATGACACTGGTAAAACATGAATTCCCTTTTTCCTGATGGAGGTAAGGGTGCTTAGGCAGCCCTATAATTTCTCTTCCATTTAACTCGCTTCTCTGCCTCTTGTGTCTATGTAGCAGCACACCTCTTCAGGTACCACTTTATACTGTAGCTCCAAGGTTATCTGTATCTGTGCACTACCAGACCATCCGCCAGCATATATATCAGGCACAGAATTCTATTTCTACCAAATCACCCCAAGTATATAGCATGAAGTTCATGTCAACTGCAGGAGCAGACATGTTACTTGATCCAGCATAAAACTAGCAAGACTTAACTGTCAAAATACTTGTAGACAAATTAAAACTGGCAACACAAATTTACAGGGCTGCAACATGTGTGATACGATACTGGAAGCTCTAAAGATCTATGTGTGGTACTGCTGAGCCACCACTTAAATGTCTGTATGCAGAAGTCTTCATTGTACTTCATCTGCCTTGCAATTTCTTGCAAGACTTTGAATTTATCTGAGGGAGATTGTTCTTTCTCCAATCGTATTAATGAGAGAACTGATAGAACACATTATGTGTGTCGTAAGAGACAATTGCCTTAAATAAGCTACAAAAGTAATGGACTTATAAAATCACAGTTCCATCAATAGCTCATCCTTTAAGTTTCTTAAGTTCAAATAAGGGAACAGAAAACTGGCAGATAAAAATTTTGGCTCCCTCTGACCAGTGAAATTACTTGTGCAATACAACTAAGAAATAAAAAAGCAGACAGTCAAAATGAGTAGGTAGGAGCATGAAGCACTGAAATTGTAAGCAGAAGCACAAAGACTTGCCACTGGATTTCATTTATCCTCTCAATGGCAACTAAGTGACTCTCAGCAGCTCTCATAAAAGGGCTTGCTCTCTGAATAAGCATAGTTTGAAAAGACTGGCAATCTTATTCTTCCTCTCTGCCAAACTTTTACATCAGTTGCTGTTCCTGTGACTTTCTGCCACATGAAACTACTGCGGGACATGCAGCATGAAGTGCTGGGTGGGAGAACTGAAGATACCTTGTGAGGAAAAAGTGGTGAAACCTTGCCAGCTATGAACTTGTGAAACCAGTACTCATCTCCTTTCTACCTCTCATCACAGAGATCGGAACGAGCTGATGACAACTCAGAGAGAAGTGTGGGCTGCCAGGGGAAAGGTGTTAAGCAGCATTTAACTAGATCAGCTGAATGGAAAAGCACCAAACACTGCCTCATTAACTTTTCTGAGAGAAAGCAAGGCAACCAGATTACACTGGTATTATGATTTTTAGAAGTGATAATCACCTTGAACCAATTTCTAACATTTCCCTATGCCAGTAAGGAATGTTTTGCCTTCATGTAAAATATGTGGTTTTGGTTTCCTATGCTTGAAAATAACACAATCTTTGTGACAGAATTTACCTCTAGATCTAAGCAACATCCTGGGAATTTAATACTCATTGCAGATGCTAATGAACAATATTGCTTGGTATTAGGACCCAGTATCAGAAAAGAATTGTGTTGCATTTCCAAACCTTCAGCAGCATTTGGAGCTTTTTGCTTTTCAGGACACTGGTATCCCAGAGTGACACAGAGAACCAATGCAAATGATGCAAGCTGAGTTTCACCAATATGCTCTCCTTAAAACAAGGTGAACACTGTACTTTTTATTTCATTTGGCTCTCAAATGAAAGCAATCTTCATTCTATTACAGTCATCTCTCCCAGATTTTGCTCTTCTTGTGCCACGTAATAACAGACAAAGCATGTCATGAGACCATCAAGTCCCCTACTTCTTGAGCTTCATGTCCTCTGCCTGACCATAACCACACTTCTCAAGCACTGTCTGTACAGTTATCTGCAAGGGACTTCTTTCTTGCCTCATCCACAATTAACAGCTTCTTATAAGCAATCAGGAACCTGTGCAACTGGTATGTACACAGATGCTTCCTCCTCTATGGAAGAGGGCCTGCCTCATCCAAAATGGTTTGAGTCAGCTATTGTGCCCCCACTGCAGTCAACAGCTTGCCCAGGACATCTATACTACAAACTCAGTAGCCCTTCAACGCTTTAGCTTTAGCAATAGTTCCCCACCAGATACCAGCTGTAACAGACCTCTGCTTCCCTGTCAACGCCTAAATACAATCCCCTGATACTGTTTTCTTCCTTCCATCCAAGTCTTCCAGCAACAGTTTGAGGTCTTTGCTGTTTCAACAGCCACTCCAAATTTAACATTGTTCAATGCTATGCATCTGCTTGCCTGCATAAAACCTATGTTCTACTGGTTTTTCCAAACCACAGCTTTGACTGTGACAGCACCTGAATCTGTGTCTGATTTAGATCTGTAGGGCTGCAAACAGGACTCACAGTAGCAACTTAGCCCAAAAAATATTTCACGCCATCAAAACCTATGAAGAGGTAGAAACTATATTCACAGCAAGACAGTTGCAAAATAACTGGCTTTGGATATGACTTTAAGGAGTTCCTTGTTGGTCTACTCATGGCAAGAACGCCTGCGCTTACCCCATAGGATGCTGCATTGTGTAGGGGGATTAAACCTCCTTTGTCCTGGGCATTAACGTCAGCACCATGCTCAAGAAGGTATTCAGCTACTTCCAAATTGTTGTAACCAGCTGCAGAGAAGGCATAGGAAAAAAAATCACATATTAGGAGAGCTAAACTAAAGAAAAAATATTAGATAGAAAAGCTAAAGCAATTTTTCGACTGCAGAAGTTCCTCTTTTCTAGTAACTGCATCACTTCCTGAAATACATCTGCCATAGTTAACAACTCTCTGTACAGAAGTCTGACATTCTTATTACACCAATCCTGGTTTTGCTGATTAACTTTTGTAGCCCTATCATAAATACACAAGGCTTCAAAACCTGGTGACTCACCCACCTGCAAGATGTAGCGGTGTTGAATTTCTTCCCTGGGTGTCTCTGCAATTGATATTTTCTTGAGTACACAGCTTCTGCACTCGCGCCAGGCACCCCTTCTTGGCAGCATCTAGCAATGCAGCATCTCCTCGCAGCAAGTCCTGGATATCTGTGTCTCCTTCTTTCACCAAATCTAGAGGAGTGTTCCCATCTCGATTCTTTTTTGTTGGATCAGCTCCATGCTGCAAAGAGCAAAGTGGAATGCTATTGTCACAACCATGAGCAGAGCAGTGTACATCAGTGCGTCACTATTTTGTTCTACCTACAAGATCAGAGGCGGGGGATTTTGCCCATATGCCATCATGAGGTAACCACTGTATAGATTAGTAGGCACGAGAATAAATTCAAAAGGCTGAGGCCTAAAGCACTAGTCTGCAACACAGCTGTGCAAATCTCAACTCCAGAGGCAAGAGCGATGCCTACCTGCAACTGAAGCAGGTACTGAAGCAGGTTCAGGAGCATATCCTGCATACAGCTACACCCTACTGTCACAGTAGGTGCTAAAGAAAATCCAACTGCAAACACCTTGCTGGCCAATCCTTCCCTTCTGCTGCAAACTGGCTGGCAGAGGTGTTTCCTCAGCACACCTTTCTGAGCTAGTGAAGCCAGGCCCCGAGTTGCACTAAATGCCACGCTGCTATTGAAAGGCACTTGTTTCAGAAGAGAATGAGAAAACCACTAATTTCTACACTTTTCAATAGGTAATAGCACTATCTTCAGTGGTCTATGGGTGTGGAAAGCAGTGAAGAAAACATTTTGGTGGGCAAATGGATTTGGATGACTGCTGGAGTGTATCTGTGCTGGTAAAACACACAGATCAGCCAGTGATAAGAACACAGTACTAGAGCACATGAGGAGGAGGGGAACATTCATCTACATTCAGCATATGGTGTGAGTAATTTTCACATACAACTTTGTGGGAGGACAGCTCCTTCCCTGTTCACTCTCAGTGACAGTGGGAATAAAAACAAAGACAGATAAGGCAGAGGCAGCTGCTGGCACGATAGTTCTCTGGCTGGCCCCTTCAGAATAATCAAACACAGTGGTCCAACCCATGCCAGCAAGACTACCCTGCCATTTCTCACTGGGTATGCTGGCAAAGTTGCATTAGTGTGAGCCATAGGGAATGAGCTGGAGGTGGGGAGAGCAGAACGAATTAACTGCCTTGTTTTTGGAAGCAGCACAGCAATGCTCAGGATGTGAAAGGTAAATAGCAACGGACAGAATATTGATTACACAGAACCAGTTCCATATATATGGTGCTTTTGGGAAGACAGTGTTCTTTGCATAAAGCCTTTTCAACTGCAATGACTTCTCCAAGATACAACCTTAGATCCCTTAATTTAAAAGTCATCGAAATTAGAACTATTCAAATACTCTCCAGAATAAATACCTAAATGAAGAGGCAGTGCCTCCTGAGACCTTTTCAAAGACATAGAAACAAACGAAAGAAGTAATTTTAAAGAAAGATGATGAAAAAATAAAGTCTCTCCAAAATTCCTGCACGTTTTTGTTTCCTTCTTCAAGCAAACCAGGATAGAAAGAGCACATGTCAGAGGGAGTCAAGCTCAACATCCACGGCTCAGCAGAACTGACAGCACTGCCAGCTGGCGTAAGAGATGCAGCAGGAGAAGCCCTGAGCAAACTGCACTGTGAGCACATATCCACGGACACCCAGAGCCTTTACAAAATTGTGTCACCTTAAGGGCGTATTTAGCTCTAGTGCAAGAGAAATTTCAAAAAGAAAGATTTCAGCACTTTTCTGTTTCCTGTCATGCATCCATTCTGCATCCTTTGAACACAAAAAATGGCTACATCCATAGTGGAATTATAAGAAGACTCCCGATACCTCCAATGTCTATAAGGCAACACTGTGCTTGAGATATTATGAGTGCTCCTAGCTTGAGCTAACATCTGTATTCAGGTGTTACTACCAGGGCCATCATCATGCCTGCTTCACAGACATCTCTGAATATCTTCTAGTTTCTACTGCAGATGTGTTTCAAACTGATGAGTTACCCCCTCTGAATGCCTTTTTTGGTAAGCAAGTGAAATAATTCATGAGATAAGACGGAAATAGTGGGGCTTTCCAGCAGCAAATGAAAAGTGGATGGGGAAGAGCCTCATCATTTTAAGACTATCCATATTCTGTCCTACTCCTATTTTAAATGCTATGCTTCAGAAGGACATTAAGTAAGCAAGGCTAAAAGAGGAAATAGGATTGAAAAGAAATACTGCTCTAGCACCCTCTTTTGCCCTCCCATGGCAGGTTATGACCTTATGTTAAGAAGTCTCTCAAACTCACGTTTCTCACTGGAAATGTGTACACATTACCTCATGCTTTTTACAGGTTCTTCCACTAATTATAATGAATATTTATTCTATGGTATGCATTTCCTCCAGCAGCTTGATAAATTAGACATTAACATTGCAGTTTTACATTTCTTACATGCCAGACACCATTTAGGACCTACCTTCAGTGACTCCTCTGTAACACACTCTTGTATTTACAAAGCTTCACTTAGCTGCAATAACTGTTCCAGAAAGGGATGAACAGGATAATGTGTGATTTTTTTTTTCTTTTTCTTTTCTATTTTTACACAAATTCAGCTGCTTTTTCCAGTTCGAGAGTCTTGTCCTACTTAGCTAATAGCATTAATACATGTACTGGAAAAAGTAACTGTACTGATGATCCTTTGTAAGTGAACTGATATTACACAAGAAACCATCTGACAATTGAAAATAGATTCAAAGACACCATAAAGAACTCACTGAATGCAGTTATGTTTGCATTAATTAATCGTCAGCAAGAATAAACTTATACACATTTAAAGATACATCTGAGAACTCCAGCACATACTTTTAAAAGCAGCTTGCAGATTTCGTATTTTCCTTTTGCTGCTGCTTCATGTAGAGGAGTGAATTTCCACAGGTCTGCCACATTGACAGAAGCACCGTGCCTCACTAAGAGCTCAGCCACTTCGTAGTGTCCATAAGAACAGGCATTGTGCAGGGGTACTAAGCCACTAATCAAAGAGAAAGTATTAATAGCTACAGAAAACAAAATCCAATATGCAATCATACAAAGTTCCATTAGATAAAACTCCCACTTCCACCAGATATTATTGGTATTTTTCAGTCATTCCAGTTTTCATGGCTTTATTTCCCTACTATTAAAACTTTAATTAAAACTTCATTATCCTCCTTCAGTTCTCATCCATGAGACTTCAAAATACTTAGCAAGCACCAATGTTACTTCTTCCACAAGCAGTGTGGAAGATTCAATGCTATTAACAAGAGCCAAAACCTAAATTGCAAGAATCTCTGTGTTCTGAGTTTGGATATTTGAGTGTAAATTTCAGAAAAGGTATATGATACGATACAATGGGTTTGAAGCAGTTACTAGTAAGCGCTGCACACCCGATAGATAACACAAAGATACCAAAACGTTTCTTTCAGGAAGAGAAATGTCTTAGCATTGGAAATTAATTATCCCCACCCTGAACCAATACACTGCAATGAAAGATCAAACATAATGATGCTATTCTACATGATTACTTGGCAAATAATGCAAAAATTCTGCAAGTGGTTCATATCATTTAACTGAGTATTAACTGAATAACTATATAATAAAAGCTATCTAACAGAATTAGAAAAATGACCTGAGATAATCCAGGTATTTTACCCATGTAATTCCAGCCTGATTTTAGATCACTTGAAATAACTTATAGATTTCTTTTAAGCAGATCAAAGTCTCCAAATGGGCAAAAGGGGGAAGAGAAGGATCATGTATTTTAGTGACAGCTATATACCTGACAACAGCTTTGCCAGAAAGCTAAGAATGCCTTAATGTGCTATAAATCTCCCTACAGTGATTGCAGGAACAATGCAAACAAGAAGAAAGAAAAGAGAAAAATTTTCAAGAGAAAAACATGATAGTTACTGAATCCAAAGCAAAATGAACAGAGGGGAGTAGAAGTCTCACACTAATAGAAAGCAGCAGAGCATATCATGGAATCAAATGTACCCTTTATCTTTGGCATGCACGTCTGCCCCATGGTGCAACAGATACTCCACCACCGATACACGGTTATATCCTGCAGCAAAGTGCAGTGGAGTTGAATGACGGCCTTCCAAATCTCTACAGTTCACATTCTGAGGGCTGCAAAGTTGCTGCAAAGACAAAAGAAGAAACTGAAATCTAGCACAGAACTAAACCAAATCAATAAAAATAACCAAACAAGAACAGTCAAACAAACCAACCAACCCCAAACCAAAAGAAAACCCTGAACTACCACCTTAATACAAAATTCGATCCATTTATTGTTATACACAAGTTTTTAGAAGTTAGGTTCCAGAAAATTTCTTTCCACTTAGGCAAAGTTAAAAAAAAAATCAGCTAGTCTAAACTTATGGCTGAAAGTACTTCTGTAACAAACAAGACTTTGATGATGGAAGCAGCATGAAGATGTTCCTAAATGTATTAAAAAAGGTGTGCTTCTAAATCATTGAGTGCTAGGAGGTCCAAGGCCATATCACTTTCTTCAGATATGTTACCATTTCCAGTTTATGTTGTCTTCAGAAATCTATAAATCCTGAGCTTGGCAGTCAGAGGAGCTGCTGGTGCACAAAACTGCTGCTGTTAGAATTTTAATATGTATTGCATTGAAGTTCAAGGTGAGAATGCATGCAGAATGGTCTATCTGCAGGCTATTTTGCCCACAAACTGTGTGAAAGACAAGATTAAACTTTCCTGTGATGCTGGGATTCGGTGGCCTGACCCCTCACCCTCAGATTAAGGATGGGTTAAAATGTGAAGTCTGCTACTCATTAACAGTTTTGTTTGCTTGCCTTCTGATTGAATCATGCACCTGAGGCTTGCTTCTACTAAACTGTAATTCTGAGGATCACAGGGTTCACTTCAAAGAATTACAGCTGCATTTGCAATACTGCATCTGAGACTATCAAAGACATGACTGTGTGAAGGACTGGGAGAATGAACAACCAAAAACTCAGAAAAACACCTCAGCACATCTTAAAGCACTACTTTCCAGGAAAAAAAAATTCTAGAGATTTGCATTCCCATTTTTTGTGATTTACCATCCACTGCGCACTACTTCTGTAACTCTTACAGCAGAGGCTTCCACAAGCTTTGCACAGCAATACAAAGTGGAAAATTAACATGAATCACTGAAACCTACCTTCACAGTTTCCAAGTCTCCAGCTTTGGATGCTTCTAATAACCGATAATCCACATCAGATGTGCGCACAGGTGTACTTTCTACATAGGGAAAAAGAAGGTTTTGGATTAGTTAGGATCATTACATTATATTGTGCTCTACATTTTTGAAACTGGTGGGGGGGAGTCTCTTGTCATTTGTAAAAATGAAGCTGGAGTTGTGATGTTCAAGCTCATATTGCCTAAATGCCTATATAAGGAGCCTTAGTTTCAGTGTAAACCAGTCACATTTAGACTGACATTTAGATTAAACTCTTGTCAGACTTAGAGCTGACATTATTCTGCCAAATGGAATTTCAATGCTTTGCTAATCCTATGTATGGTAAAAATGACTGCTTCTGCATGTAAGAAAACTACATGCCCACTGGGACAGATTCAAGAGTTCTGCTGAAGATCAGAAGCACCTTTCAGCAAACTGCACCAGGTGCCAGTGAACAGCCAGGGTTAAATATGCTCAACCCAGCGGGTGAATTACAGCTTTTGCACTCTCTACTTGTGATAGGTCTCATACTACGAAGCAGTGAAAAGGGGATGAGATTTCTAAAATTACCCTGGCCACATGGTAACTGCCTGCAGTTGTGTACTGCACTTCAGAGTAACAATGAGATCAGTCCCTTGTTATAAACATGGAGTGGTTAAAAACAGAATCAGAAGAATGATATGTGATTAAAAGGAGACCTTAAGAGAAGAAAAGGTATCTCTCTATAAATGACTGTAAAACAATGACAGGTTGTGGCATCAAAACTCTTTTTCACCCCACTTCTCATTAGAAATATGACTGTGAGAAAGGAAGCACACACTGAGGGAAGAGGAAGAAGTGGCTGGAAAGGAGCAGTGGATTAGCTGTCCCTAGAGCTCTTCAGTGTGGCTCAAAAAGGGGCTGAAAAGGCAATCTTGATCACTTCATTTTTAATAGAAACTGCTTTCTATTGCAGAAGCCACTTTTCCCAAGCTCAAGGACTTTTGGAATAAATATTTTAGCAGCATGTTGCCTGATCAGCAACAGAAATGCCTAGTGCAAAACAAACTGGGCAAGGTGAACTTGGGTTTGCCATCATCTATAAGAATGCCGTAAGGAAGTCAGTGTGTTGCAACAGGCTAAACTTATTCTAGATGGACACGCAATTCCATCAAAAATACTTAAAAGACTTCTTTAAATGAGAGAGAACTGATACAATGTCCCAGTTGGAAAATGCAGGGATGTTATGAGAAAGCACTTCTTGCAGACTAACAGTCCCTGCAGAATCCAGTCAATTCCTGACTTTGCAACGTAATCTGTAACTGTAGTTTCCACAGGAGTGGAAAACTAGCTATCATTACAGAAGGGCATCAACTTGTCTATCACTTCGATGTAGTAGATGATCTTAAGGTCCTTTCCAACCTGAACCATTCTATGATTCTATGATTCTATGATTTCCTATTGCAGTCCTATTTTCTCTTCCTAATCTGTATTTTGCAGCCTTTTGCTGCCTCCTTGCCTCCATATTCACTGCAGGAAGAGAAGGAGGAAGAGGAAGCGAGAAGCAACTCCTACAAGCTCAACTGTTAGGTGAATAAATGCTGTCAGTTGAAGGAACGGCTAAGAAAGCTCAGGGAAGAGGGACAGTGACACCTTTAATACAGCCAAAGCTGCCAGAAACTTTCCTCAAGTCTACCTCAATCATCAGGAGCAGTTCCACTCGCAAGCAGTTGGAATCTATGATCTTAAAGATCTTTTCCAACCTAAATGATTCTATGATTCTAAGTGATTCAAATGGATGCTGCAAGAGAAGGATGGCAGCAGGAGTTTGACACATATGTTAGTGACTGTGGGCAGAGTATAGCATGCATCAAACTCCTGTTGTTGGAGCAGGTTAAGATTTCAGCTCACGCCTTTTTCACCTTAAGTTATTTGCCTTCCCTTACTCTTTCCAACAGCATCACCACCTCAGTGTCCTGAGGTAGTGATAGGTGAGGCTAAATCCTACACTGGATCCAAAGCTCTGCTCCTTAGCAATTCTGTATTTCTTCTCTGGACTTCAGTTCTTGTCTTCGTAAGATAGCCAAGACCCTAACTTCGGTGAGGGTAAAAAAGGAAATCAATCAGAAACATGACCTAATTACTACAGGAAAGACAAATTTCAATTCCACTAGATTAGAACTTAAGTACCAAAAAGCTGCACTGAGCAAAGAAATAAAACCAATCTTACTCTTCAAGATGAGCAAAAGTAGCAGCATTTTCTAATAAGCATTTGAAAAAATAAACAAGGTCAGTTTACAAGCTCTCTTATATTACATGGCTATACTCCTACCAGTTGCAACTAAAATCACAAGCAGCTAGAGTAAAGTGGTATCCACTGGCCATTATGCCATCCGAAAGGTGGTGTCACGATTATCTCACAGTTGGGAAGTAGCTTAGCAACCAAGAGTGAGGAAAAAAACATCTAATATTATATAGAAAATATTTTAAGCTGTGAACTCAAGACTCAGGTAGCAATCACTATCAAGACAACTGAAACATTTAAACAAAGCATTTCTTTAACCCAATCTTACAAAAATGAACAGTAATATTTGGTAAATAATTTCAGCATTCATTTACTAGCTTTGAAATACAGATATGAAGCATCAACAACTCTAAATGCATTTTTTCAGCTTTTGAATCTTTCAGCCTTGAACAGCAGAACAGTATGACATCTGAAATTAGTCTTCCTAGAAAAGGTAAACAAGTGAAAATGAATTTTTAATTCAGTCAAATGAGTGTTTTCAGAATACTTATAAGTTTACTAGTTTTTTATATCAAACTTCTTTTTAACAGCAGGGGATATGTTTACTTTCTTCTGATTATTAGCTAACCTCTCTCAATACATATACATAGTCACATGCATATTTTAAACAGGTAATGCTACCCATGTAACCAGTTGCATCTCAAGGGTGGGTATACTTCAAAACAGTCCTTCCTTGCACTGCTGCCTCTTACCTCACCCCTGACCCCTGTTTTAAGGCAACATTCTTGAAAACACTGAAGGAAATGGAGTTTCTAGCTACCATGGGTCTTCTAGTCTATCTGGGTATCTGCCTTCCTCTGACTATACGCATATCCCACTGTAAGGTGAGTTATTTTCTCTGTTGATACAATTACTCTTCTCCCTATTCACAGATGTGACATGGATATGAGGATGCAAACCCTCAAGCACTTACATGAAAAGTAGTGGCACCTTCTTCAAACATCCATTCACCTTTTTCAATGTAAAATATAAACAAATCGTTATCTAAACAGTATCCAGAGCACTTTCACAATAAAATCTTTCTCTGCTGGACAAGCAAGAGATTTTAAGTAAAAGTTCAAACCGTTTAGGAACTATCTGTATTTTTTTGCCAGTAACACTCTGCCTGTGACTGCCAACATATGGAATACCTAACAGGGTGGCTGATGAGAGGAAAAAGGTTTCTCACATGTTCAGCAATATTCCAGTTGCCATGGAACTTGTTATCAAAACCACCCAAAACTACCCACATCTGCCTTCTCACAATCTCCCTGTACAGTTCTAAATCCAAAAGATGTTTATTTTCTTCCCAATTGGCACAAAACCACTGAATTGAGCAGGGCCTTTTTTATTTTGTTGTGTATGGGTTTTTTTTGGGTTTTTTCTTTTTTTTCCTCTTCTGAAAAGCATCATGCAGTACATACTGTAGATGTGTGCACACAATGGTGGAAGGGAGGGATGAGAAAACTATTGCATGTCTCTTGCATTGAAAAAGAAGTAAGATTCACAACTGTAAAAAGAAAAGCCGAAGTTCAAACGCACAAGCCTTTATTTTTACCCACCACTCAGAATCTGTTGCACTGCTTCATTTCCCATCTGTGCCGCTGTGAAGCCTTGTAAAGAGATGATGGAAGGATCAGAGCCGTAATTCAGCAAGAGCCGGCAGGTTTGCAAGTGACCTGCTAGTGCAGCCCTGTGCAATGCTGTTTGACCAAGTGTGTCCAGTGCGTTCATCTGAAAAATCATCAGCAATATAAAATATTGTCATAATTAAAAGCCTGCACCTGTCCCTGCCTCTAAGAGCAACAGTAACATGAATTTTCCAGCACACAAATTTATCTATCAATCCCTCTTCATTGCAACTAAAAAAAAAGCCCCAGTGACAAACAGGTAAACACTCCAATGTACAGATAATTCACCACAGATGCTTTTCTGTCTTTTAACCATGCAGGTTATTTGTTGGCATGGCTAACAGACAACACACGGTCCCCAAAACCACACTTAAAATAGTGCTCAAGCTTTTGACAAATTCAGTTAAGATCAACCTCTGTGCAAGAAAAGCAAAACTCTCAGAGAAGAGGAGAAAGAGGTAAGTAATTAACCAAATAATTCATAGGCCTTCCAGCTTTAAGGAAATTACCATCTGTCATCCTCAGAAGCCGAATTAACTCAACATTACTCACTACCAAGAATTAAAGCAAAACAATGATATCAGATTAGGACTTCTAAGAAAGGAGGGGAGAAGGGGAGGGAAGAGGTTGGATACAAACAGTCCATTTCCTCCTCACTTTCGTATTTTTAAAGAAATGTTAAGTATAACTGGATATAATTCTACTCAATACAAGACTGTATAAACAGGCAAAATGGAGTATCACTTTCAAAGAGTATAACATAATGGAAACCTATTTGTCTGTCAAGATCTAACAGAGTATCTAAATAACTGAAAGTATCTCCATGGGCTGACTATCAGAGAAAGGAAAAGAATAATACAGAGCTTTAAAAAGTGGAAAAAAACCTTGATGAAAATAACCTTTCAAGAAGGTACTTTGTACCTAGCAGCGATTCATGACAAATTTAAATGCAAATGCCCAAAAGCTTTTTTACCACATTGTGAAATACAGAACTACTCCATATTCTCTGCAAGCAGCTCAGAACCTGTTACCTGTTTCCAAGCCTACGGACTACAGGCTGTGAACTGCATGCATAATCGACTGTTACTGTAAAAACCCACCTTTTTAGCTTCTGAAAATCTTTGTGGTGGAAAAGAACAATGGTTTCACTTGTTATTTCTCACCTAAAATGCAGTCTGCAAATCCTATTACTTTTCCATGAAAATGAGTGAAAGAACATTTTGGGCAAGACACACATTCTGTAATTAAATGAAATTTAATTAGGAGGGTAACTGTAAAAAATACCTACTACCAGATACGGAAGGAAGAAAGAAAATAAGTAGTAAAATGCTTGCAATATAACAGTATCAAGCCACAGGAAAGAAGAAAGAACTACCCCATAAATAAAGTGGGGTGTGATTTGATGTTGTCTGAAATTCTTCTATATCCCTGAACAATTCTACAGACTGATAAAGCAGGAATTGCTCAGATCACAAACCTCTCTTGCAGAAAGATAGGACAGGAGAACAGTTCTGCTTTCTTCTAACCGTGCTCAGCTCATGCCACTCCAACAGGATTTCCCTAAAAGTTTTGTTTTAAATAAAAACTTACTGCAATCATAAATATTAATTAGATGCTTAATGTCCCAAATCCATCATTTTGTTCAGATGATGATCCTCATCTGTTCCGGGACACCGGATACCCTTCGTCACTGATAAGGGCATGGAGAAAAGCAGAAGTCTGGGGCTATACAAGTTTAGTGACAGTAAAGGCAGAATGAAATGAGACTTACGGATTCTGAAGAAGGTGATAACACCCTGTTCTCTCAAGAAAGAGAATCAAAACTAACATCTTTTGTAACACTGAATTCCTGTGTTAAACATGCCTGTACTGAACAAATTGTTGAAGAACAGCAGCAAGGTATTCATGCTGCACAATTTGATACTGTGTTCCTGGAAAAAATGTTAATATTCATTTGAAAAGAACACTGGCAGAGTCATCAGATCCATCATCTCACATGTCTTACGCAGGTCTCCTTTCACCCACGTCCAAATAATTATCTTTGCCAGTAATCGACTCCTGTAGCAGAATAACGCCAGCCATTTGAAGAAATGCTTGCTTACTCCTGGGACAAAGAGGGCTGCAGCTGACAGACAGATGCAGGCACCAAACGAAGCTCTTTTTTTCCCTCCAGAGCAGAAGCAGGCTTTGCAGGGCAATTTCATGGGGAATATGTCCACTTTGAGGTAGATCTGCTCTCATCAATCACATACCACTGTCTAAAACCAACCCAAGAACATACTGCACCAAGGCTGAAAGCAACAGCATTTATTTCCAAATGAAAATCAATTTGAGCCTTTCAAATTGAAATACAAATTGAGACTAAGCTATCATAAAAATCAAACCATCAAAAATCATGGTATGATGTATGTCTGGGTTAACCACTGCTCAACAGTAGGTCTAAAAACATACTCCTTTCAAATCCAAAGCTAAAGCTTAAGGTCTGTCTGAAAAAATGTAAAATACCCAAGGTGCACTGCCTTACTTGTGTAACTATTCCAGCTGAACGAATCAAAAAAAGATAAATACTCAACTGGTTCCCTTTATAAGCAATATGAAATTAGAAGGCTGCACCTCTGAATTACTTTACAGACAAGTTTTCTGCAAGAGTTAAAAATGACAGATTTGACAGCTTTTATTCCCCAACAGACTGCTAGTGTCTTCACCTGCTAGTGTGAAAGCAGTCATGCCACTGCTCAAACTGTAGCATTGAAAGCAGAATGCATTTATCAGGGGAAAAGCATTTTTATGGAAAATCCTTTTCATTTATTTTTCCCCATCCTGGACAGATGCAGTACAGAAATCAAAATGGTCATGTATCATCAGACACTGAAGAGATTTTCCCCCCTTGCACTGCTGCTGTCTTCATGTTGTTAATCATCATAGTCCAGAACCTGCTGCATTTCTAGAGGAAATGTAATTTTTCAATGCTTACTCTTTCCTGAGAAAGTCCAATCTCTAGCCAAAACGTTGGAAGCAAATGTATTACACAACAAAGTTATACAAAACCTGTTGTGTTGTGTCTAGCTAAACAATGACTGTTTTCAAATCCATGGTCATGAAAGGTTGGCAACATGTGACTCCAGCACACAGAAATAATTGTATTATGCAAACATCTATAAAGCAAGATCCTTCTAGCAGAGCAGAATGAAGCCATTTCTGCTACCATTATGAACAGGAACACCATTGCACATGAACTTAGAAAGGCTCATTTTCTCTTGCAGATGAATAGTTTCAGCAGTGTCCTCTAGAAACATAATACAGTTAAACGAACAGCATCCATGGCATCTTTACACTTGCCCAAGATACCAGTGTACTTGCACTTGCAGGTCAGTCTTTCCAACAATCATTCCACTTCAGAAAAGACCTTAATCCTTTTCTTTTGCACTGCTAGAAAGCCAAATGTCTTTTTGAACATTTTCAATTTCCCGTGTATCTATAAATTCAGACAAGGAGCCACTTATAAGAGGTATCCACCTATGTAGCAATAAAACAAAACAGGATGAAGGTCACTTTTTCATTAGTTCACCACCTTCAAATGATTTTCTTTTTAAACAAAGGATTTTGACCATCTTCAAAGATACATTTGTGGCATTTGAAGATTTACTCATGGGTCTAATAAAAAAATAGTTTATGCTTGAGGATTCTTTAAAGATGCTCTGCTTGTCTTTTTCATAAGGTACGTTGAGGATATCCAACATCAAATAAGAAGTGGCGTGAAATGCTGTTTCACATTGCAGTTCAGGAAAACATGTGAAAACTGGGTATGGCATTTAAAACCACAGATATTTATGATCAACATCCTTGAAGAAAACTCTAAGAAACCCCAAGGTTTCTCACCTGTGCTTTAGATGTACAGTTGACAGTAAACTTTGCAAACTCAAGTAACAAGTTCTGTCTTCACTGACCATGGAATGGGTATTGCTTAGATGTAACATGCTGATGTGCACCAAGGACTTCTTCACAGTTCAAATTACAAATCTAGTCTGTGTTGTCAGTGAAGGCCAGCAAAGCACTCCAAAATAAGCAATTTGTGAATATGGGTTAACTCTTGCCAATACAAATGTTCTTAGAAACATTGCTGTAAAATAAGTCTAGATCAGCACATTATTCAAGCAGCCCTTCACTTATTATTGTCTAACATACTTCAAACAGGAAATTTACACAGTGATACAGGATAATTAAATCCAGCTCCAAGACCACAAACCCTCTCTTATTTATCCCAAGCAAATACCCTAAAGCAGTCTTTACCATGCTTCAGCCCATTCGGCAAAACATGAAAAGCCTCAAGTATACATACTTCACATTATCTCACTTTTGCTGCCTGACAAAGATCACAGCTTCTCCTTATGAAAACAGCAGTTTCACAAAAAAATCACAAATTATTTTCCATCTAAAAAACTACATGGCTGTCTCCTAAATCCATTACTGGATTTTGTATTTGTGGATCAGCTGTCTGCCTTTTGGCACTCTATTTCAGCAGAAGAAACCTCCACGTTCTTTGAAGCCCTATTTACTCATCCCTCTCAAATTGTTTCTCTCTATATATAACCAGTAGTGGTTTCCAGAAGGTAGATTAAAGCTGACTTATAAAGTACCTTCCCTTTGACAGAAGAAATGGTTGCAAAGTAAAGAAAATATGGTAGGTGTCATCCATCCACGCTTCAGTAAGCATTCAATATGGGGTCAAACGGGAAATCTTATTTTATATGGAAATATAGACTGGTTGAAGAACCGAATGTATTGAAAGGGGGCGAGTTGCTCAATGATTAGTTGTGGGATAATTTTATTTTATTATCTTCATTAATGATCTTGGCACAGGAGAATTGTGCTGAATGGTTACAAATACAAAAAATTGAAAGAAAAAAACCCTGAAATTCTCTGGGTACAACAAGACTACAGGAAGGGTCTGAGTACTCTTGTGTCATGTCTACTAAAAAGGCAAACATGACCCAAGAATGCATTAGCCCAGCATTTACGTTACAGATATGAAGTGCCATCATGTAAGGCAATGGGGGAACAAATTCCATTCTTGTTGCCTGAGCTCCAGGATTTCTTCTGGTGATAGTGAAGAGAAGGGTTATAAGGATGATTAGGAAATGCCAATGTTCCTGTATGAGGGAAGATTAAGTAATTGGGGCTTTCAGCCTTCCAAAACAAAGGCTAAGAAGAACCAGTTTGTTCACTCAGCAAATGAAGCATCAAAATGGAAGAGAGGTATTTAAACTGCAGGACAGTGCTGTTTGAAGAACAAATGGATATTCACTGTGAGGCTGCTATTGCAGGGGGACCAGATTCACCAGCTCACAAGACCCCTCTCATAAAAACCATGACCAGACAGGATCAAAGAGTACATCCGACTACATCTTATGAAGTAACCAAAATTCAAGGCATGAAATAAGTAAACAGGAAGAAAAAGCTTCCAGAAATATAACAAATGGAGAAAATAAAAACCCTGTATCATGCTTAAGGGATTAAAGCTGTCATGTTCTAACAATCAGAAACAAAGAAATATCAATGTTAAAGAGTGTCTCATGAACTGAATGCCTACAGTCAAAGCATAAGCAAGAGGTCAAATGGTAAAATAAAAGCAAGACAAATATTTTAGAGTGATTAAATATGCCTAGTTAACTAATCAATACTCTAGAGCATATACCATCTGGGAACTTCAAAATGCTTCACAAGCCTTAATGACCCACCTCTCATGAAAACCTGTGATTGCATTACATACTGTTCTACAGCTGAGGAACTTTGGAGACTGACAGAGAGGGACCTGATCCACTGCAGTACAGAAATATATGCTTAATGTTAACTACAAGTGGTCTCCGGCCATGCACTTAAGTGCTCTACTAGATGTTAAATGTGAATGGCTAGCCACAGAATAACAGAGCAAGCATATATCAGGATACGAAGAATGAGTTTTAACGAGCATCATGTACCTCTATTTGCATATAGTCAATGGAAAAAACAAATGGAACACACCACTCAACACTGGACTGCAGATAACTGCAGGCCTCTTATCACCATCATTAAGTCCACAAGTGACTCAGGGATCATGATTTAGGAACCCCTCCTTCAGGATATAAAAGAATTACAAGCTATCATCAGAATGTGCTACTGACACAAACAATAAAATTCATCCATTCCAGTAAGGATGACGTCTTTGAGCTTACTCCTAACTTGGCTACACAGAGCTAGAATTTCAAGGGAGCATTACGTTAATTACCTACAGTATAGTAGCAGGCTTTCCAGAACAGAAACTCCTTCTGTTTCAAAGCATGTAGTACTTGCGTATCAATACACTTGGAACTCCAGCACATCCAGTTCAGTGCCTATCCAAATACCATCAGTACTGAATTCCTGGGCAAAATCAGATCCATAAAGTGATGATGTATCTATTCCTACGAAAAAATGCACTTTTTTCACTTTTGAGTGCATATGTATGCTACTAAGAGTGAATCTGGGAAAATAACAACGAATGGTTTTAATGATTATAACTGAGACCTCCAGGCCTGCTTTCCCCCTCCGGGAAATGCTGGTATGTCACCACTGCATTGCATTCCCAAATGCAATTAACTCTGTCATGGTACTGTTGTTAAGCTATTTCATGACGCCATTAAAGTACCGTGGAAGTGAATCAGATATTGAAATCTGGCAATCAGCTCTCATACAGGCTTAGAAATTATAACTCACTGTTTCAAAATAAAAAGACTTAGTATTAACTATGCATACAATTACATTGCTCGCACCTCCTAGCACGTCAAGACTGACATACTAGATTGTTATTACAGTTATATTTCTTAATTTCCAGCTACCTGAATGAAAATAAGAGAGTAACGTGGGGCTCCAATGAAAGCCAAATTACAGAGATTACTTATATTTTAATCAATGCAAAGAAAGCACCCATCAAGAAGAGTTTCTGAGAAAATTAAGTGCTAAGTATAACATTACTATGAATGTCAAGTTTACTGCTAAAACTCAAGAAATTCTGAAATATTTCTGAAAGATACTTAAAACATGTTCTAAATAAAGTTATACTTTCCTCTGCTGAATCGTGCGTTTCTAAGCAAGCTTCACCATAGACTCAGAAATCATTTTGGTCAGCACCTATCAATGGCTAAAGGGCATTTCAAAACAATCTGATCACAAGAATAAGAAGCAAGCAAGGGGATACCCAGCAGTAGACTACTAAACTCAGTGTCAGCAAACTCAGACATTGGATATTTTCAAGCCAACAAGATAAAGCCAACAAGAGGCACCCAGATGACCACATTTATTAGAAATGAGTAGCAAGATTCATTACAAATGAGTAAGCTAGACTCCTAAAGCCTATATTCAGTTACTTGGAGAGAAGACCTCATTTTCAAATGGGGTTCCTGAACATCCTATACTGATTTAAGATAAACACACTTCAAGGTTAACGTGAGAAGCACAGGCATACAGAAGAAAAAGCAACAACTACCATAAAAACTAACACTGTGATTAACCAATATAACCCTTCTTCTTGCCTTTTGCCTTAAATACATGTAAATAAAGTTACCTTTGCTCCATGTTTATGCAGAACTTCCATGACGTCATTATGAGCTTTTTCAGCTGCAACATGTAAAGGTGTCATGAAACTAGGAAAAAAAAAAGAAGAGGGGATATCAGTTTTACATTCCTAGTATGACAGTCATTCGGAAAATTAAAAACTTTCAGAAACCTACTCTTTGTTTTTCTCATTAACATTTGCTCCTTTCCTGAGCAATAGTTCTGTAACTTGCTTCCTCTTGGGATGCACAGCGGCCACAGCACAGTGCTGCAAAAAAGTAAACATAAATTATGTTTCAGCTACACAGATGACAAAGAGCTTTAAGATCCATGACTTCATCTCTTAATTACTCTGCTAAGTATTAGACTACAAAATTTACAGTATCCATCGTATTTCTGCTGAAGCACATAACATACAGAACAAAATATAAGCTAGTGATCAATGCTAAGTTATTCTACTCAGAAAAACAATTTTGATTCTAAAGCTATTTGCAACTTGCAAAAACCCCTACACTAACTAGCTATAGGTACAGAACCAGCACATAATGCACACAGGAGGTAAAGACAAAGTGCTTGAAACAGCCTAGCTTTCTACAGAGGGACTCTCATTAGACTGTACATAACCTCATCTGATTGTGGAAGCTAAGTCCTGCCACTTGGAAATCTCAAGTACAGGAGGCAAAAATTGCGAGGTCACGGTCAAACATTTACTGAACAGTGAACTAAAGACATCAATAGAGCTAAAATACCCCATTTTGCCTCACTGTCTGCAGAATGAGCAGGTGGAGATTGCACAGCTAGAGAGATGCCACATGCCAGCAGCTGAGGTACTCAGGAAGGATAACATCATTTCAAATTTCATACTATCTTCATGTTCAGCCTGTAAGTATCTCTTCTCTGTCTTGCTTTTAAGTTCAGGCCAAGTCCTCCATTGAAAGAACAGAGCATGTAGATGCTCGGTACTCAACACACGATGTTCTGATCACAATCTCAATGTTTGTAATACTAAATACACAGTTGCATGCCTGCAGCTGAGACCTACCACTGTGAAGAAAACGTTCCATTGGAATAAAATTATCATAACTATGATTGTTTTAATAACACAATCAGTCCCTCTCAACTTCAACATCTACACTGCATCTGGATACTGGCTGTGTTCTTTGCCTCCACTGTTGCTTCAAATAGTAAGACTAGGATACTGCAAAGAAATTCTGAGACCTCTGTTTCCACAGCTAATGTGGTATTGTCAGTCCTGTTCCAATCGTGTAAGACCCTGTGATATACACCTGGCTTTTTTTTTTTCACAATTTTCTATACCCTATTAAGAAAATTTATAATCCAAGTTTACCCACATAAAACATGAAGGAAGCGCTGGGCCACTGGAACAGAATTTAACCCCAGAAAAACCACAACAACTGACCTACAAACAAACAGGGTGAGGGCATGAAAAGAAATAGAAGTGAAACATGAACTGGTGAGGAGTAGCTGGAGGGCTTCTGTAATCTACCAGGAAGGAAAAAAAAGAAAAAAAAGATAAAAAATTATATGGTGTTTTTTCTAGAATGATGATTTATTTTTTATGTATCACTTACTTGATGGCAAATCCTCAATCTCAGATGATGAATATATTTTCATAGTGTAGAAACAAAACTCTTCAAGTAGCACTACCACCACATTTATCATAAAACAAACGGATTGATTGTATAATCTCACCAGTGCAGTCTCATGCGACTGTGGCTGCTTAAAATTAATGATCTCCAAAGCAAGTGTCTTTTTCACTTTGGCTAGGTCTGCCTCTCTGGCTGCTTGCAATAAAGAGTGTCCTTTGAATTCATCTGTTAGAGGAAAAAGATGCATTTCATATTCAGCAACATGTCACATTTATAAATGTTATTAGAGAAAGGCAGCTATACTCAATTAAGAGGAAATAAAGAGTATTTCTGTACATCTTCAGGTAACAGCTGACCTGGAACACAGAAAATGGTTTACTGAAACCAAAGGGACATTCTAAAGGAGAGGGAAAGTGATTCCTTGAGTAAAATTCTTGTAGCTTTTTCTCCTTTTATCCTCCACCTACTTGATATTAAATGCATGTGACCTCTAAATTAACTATGTGTTCAAGTGAGCACAGTGCTACTGCATGCTCTTCAGAAAAAAGCATTACAGTTGTGTTTCAAAAACCTTACTGTATTCACAAGGAGAAATAATTCAAGGTAAAGCCAGGATAAATATATATACTTATAGAATTATATTTATACATTTTTATATATACA